GTCACAACGAATATGAGGACTAAAGCCTTCTTAGTACACATAGCCTTATAACTTGAGGATTTTAGTCTAAAACTTTGTTAACAAAGTGAGTCGAATTTAATTCATTGAGTTGATGATTTGTGGAATTTTTAGTAATTTAATGAAATATCATATTTATTGGAATAATTAAATCTAACTAAATTTTGACTTTTTTCTTTATATTTAATTCTAAAAGTTTAATATTTTTTTTTGTAAATAATAGACCTAATAATGAGTCCAATGCCTTTGAGTTCGTGTCATTTAGAGTTTTTTGAAATTAGTTATGATTTTTATAAATTTAATCTTTTTTAATGAATTAATTAATTGTATAATTAATAGGATTTTTTATTTTTGTTCCAAATCAACTCCAAACCACATGAAATATTCCTCTAATGTCACTGATAACTCCCAATGATGATTACAAGTGTTTGAGTCACTTTTGAATTTTTATTATCTTCTATTTTTAATTTAATTATTAAATAAATTTTATTTTCAAATTATTTTATTATTTTGAATGAATTTCAAGGGTCTTTTAATTTTTCTCTGTTAAGTATTTAATTCTGAGCGATTTGAAGCTTAATATATATTTTTATGATTTATTTTTAATTTACTATGAATTAATTAAAATTTTAGATTAGTTATGCATATGAAACTTAGGTTCACTAATTGATAGACCAAATGAACTCCAATTCAATTAAAATTTGAAATGTAGGTCCATCTAAACACATGCTGCAAACCAACTAAAATCCAATCCATAAAGGCCTTCCTAGGTTTTATAATGAATCCCCAAATTAAATATAATTATACTTTTGGGGATTTAATTCAGTTAATCTAGTCATTTGGATGGGGTTGAAATCATAATCATCTAACCCTTACAATAAAATGAACACATCAAAGAAAAATAAAGGACTAACTCTAACATCATTTATTTAAATAATAAATTTCCAAATTTTAGGTTATGACCCATAATTTTGAAAGTTCAATTAACAAAATTTTATTAATCACCAAGGCCCAATAAAATTAGGTTATGTAATATACATACGCTAATGTTCACTACCAAATTTGAGCTAAATATGAGTAATTAAAGAAAATCAATTGGAATTTTAACCTCAATTACTCTTTATAAAGTTGTTAAAATGTTTTAAATTAAAATTGGGCTCAAGTTAGTTCCAATGAGCTCAAGAACTCAATAATTGGATGAAAAATTGATTTATGGTGACTTTTCAAAGTTTTCTACTTTTTTTTTTAATTTTTTTTGGATTTAAATAAAAATGTGGCCTGCATCACAATGACTGAGCCCATGTTAATCATGTGTGCCAAGAAGGGAAGGTGCTACATCTTCATGCGCTTTCACTTAAGTTACTCAATATAATCGTATTATACATTAGATTTGATCGAATAGCTTGTACTGGATGATCCTTTTAGATTCACTTTATTCATGTAAAGAGAAAACGTGAGGGTAATAGAAGAACCTTCATATCATTTTGCACAGTGATTCAAATGCCATGAAATTTAAAGATAGCTACCCCATACTTTGATGAAGAGTGGGAAAGTTTTTGGAAGCTCTAAAAAGAACTTTTTAGAAAGCTATTTTAAATTGAAGCTTTAAAAAAAGGGTTGGACATTTACCTTAAGAAAATAAAATTCAAGGGTTTTACAAGGGCTTTCTCTTCCTGATGCTTGATGAATAACTTCTCTCAAGGCTTGGAGACTAGAAAAGCTATAGATTTTGAGTTATGAAGGAATAAAAGATATTTCTCCCTTTTCCCTATTGAAGACTCCCTAGTCTAAACAAAGGATCAGGATACATCGGTATCCCTCCTCAGATAGTTATTAAGTGTCTAGGGTTATTGGGGATAGTGCTTGAGGCATGGGAGTTATTGGAAAAACGGAAAAAAGATAGGTTATCATTTTACACAGGGGGGGGGGGAATAAATGCCATTTTGGCTTGAACCAAGTGCTGGGGTTAGTATTTTGCATGCTTGGGAAGTCTTTAGAGTTGGTTTAAGCAAGTCACATGGGCTGGTGTAGAGGGAATTTAAAAATTTTGGTTATCTTGACTATTTTGACCACTTAAGGGTTTTTAATGATTTTTCACTATGTTGACCAATCAACTTTGGTCAAGCCCCCTAGTTTGGACTGCTGGGATTCTCTAGAGGGTAGTTGCATTAGTTTTGATTGATTTTGTTACAAGGATATGGAGTTTGAATTTGTGATGTATGTATGTGAGAGGTTTCACTTATTTAGGTGAGTTTACCAAGTCAACTAACCATTAATTTATTCACATAAGATTTGGGTTCATTCAAGGCATGAAATGGAGTGAGATTCAATAACTAGGGTGGTTAATTTTATTTGGTCAATAATTTGAGGGAATTTATTTACAAATTGTACTGTACGATTATAAATCATATTGTATGGGTTACCTAAAAATTCTATAGACAAAATTTTGATCATCTAGTATGATCATAAGATCATACTATAAGAATCAACTGAGGGTTCTCTAGATGTCATTTGGTTTTCTAGTATAATCATAAGATCATAATGTACGATATGATCATGATTGATATTATTCATATTATAAGATTAGTTAAGAGATTGAACTCATATCACCAATAATCATTTGGTGACTATTAAGTGATTATTTTGGGGTTAATGTTGTGATCACAATACCAAAACATAATGATGGATTGAATTCAAAGTTTTTAATGGAATTTAATGCTTTGTACATGGAGATTGGATTTTTATTATGAGGATTGACCTCACTAAAAAAATGAAGTCAAATAAGTATAAATTACATATTATTTTTTGTTTTTTATTTTCAGTGAAAATATATTATTTTAGTTATGTTTGTGCATGAAAAACTAAATAAATAGTAATAAATTCTATGTATTCAACATATTGGCGAAATAATGCCATCGCGTTTCCCTCAGTACCACCGAGGCGGCTCAATTCTGACATTATGGAGCTAAGTTCTCTATTTATAGCGTTGTGGTGGTAACACAGATTGCGTCACAATGTTATCAGTGCCATGGTGTCAAAGGTCAAATTGGTAGCATCAGATTCTCTATTTTTAAATATTGCAGCACCATAATTTCTCACATATTGGTGCCTATTTTACTACTTGGGTGCTATAGTGCTCGAATGTCAACAATGCTGTGAAGTTACACTTATAACTTCCAAGGCCACAATCTCTCAGTGAAAGGATGTGGATGGTCACTAAAATAATTGATTCACATTAGTGAGCATTGCAGTGGTGCAAAAGTTCTAGCACAAAATTACTAGTTCACTTAAAGGGCACCGTAATGCCATTATTTCAAGCACCATAGACCAGATTCCTTTTTATGTTTGTTTATAAATAGTTGTGATTTTATGTTTATAAGGGAGTTCAGTTACTTGTGTAAAATATAATACTTTTATAGTATTTCTCTAGTTCCCTCTTAGAGTAAAATTTAGGGAAGGCTAGGTGCATACAATATACAATCATTTAGGGTACATAGTTTGTGTTTCTTGAAGAAACTACTAAGTTAAGAGTGGAGTGTAGAGGAGATACTTTGATCCTTTTCGGTGATATCACTCTCTTGTATTTTTATTGTTCCATGAGTTTAATGAAAATAAGTTTTTTTAGTTATTTATCTTTTGTCTGGCTAATTCTCTTATTTTGGATTAACAATGTAAAATGGATGTGGAGTACTAATGAATACTCTTGTTCTATAACTATTAAATGATTATTTCAATATTATCTCACTCTTTATTTAATGTACATAGTGACTATATGTGTAGTTAAAATTTAGTGTGATTTATAGCCTCGATAGAGAAATGCATGAATTACAAGGAGTATTGAGATAGGATGTTTTCATGCCTAGGCATAGGATGTATAATTTTCTAAGTTTTAAGGAGATACTATAATTGTACGAAGTTAGCATATATATATATCCTTTTCACCCCTACAAAATCTATAGAAATCTAGGGATGTATATGCTCTAAATTACATTACAATGAAGAGTCTCATTAGGAAAACCATTTAATTTAAATTCATCAATTCAAAACACTTTAATTAAATATTTTATAAAATATTTTTACTATATTATTCAATGATGTAATCACCTAAAATTACCATTTTTATTTTAGTAGGATAATTGTTACAATAAAAGTAAATATTAGTAATTTATTATAATTAAGCATACTTCCTCATGGGTTTGACACTCTACTCTATTAGTTTATACTTGATTTAACATATATACTGTTGTTAAGTGGAGTTTTATTATTATTTATATTAAAGAAAACTTAAGCATTGTCTAGGGGTGATAGAGCCCTTGAATTTTATACAATTCAAAAATTCACTCCACAACCCCCATCAAGTTTTTGACTTTGACACATTTATAAGGGAAATATTTTGCTTTTTACAATTTTAACTATATTGTTGAATAAATTGTATAGTTAAACCTACTTATATCTTTTTATTTTACTTGTTGATTGCATATTCACGATTGAATTCTTTATAGACATAGAAAATAACCTTTAATATTTTACACTAAAATAGAAAGAACCCTTTCAAAAATTTAAAAAACCAAAATGATTATAAAAATGGTGAAACTTGTATTAGATCAAAATTATTCTAGACCTAATAGGGATTATGTTAAGCCTTTAGTAGAAAAAATTCATTAGAGTATTATGGACTTATGATCCAAGCTCATAATTTTGAAATAAATTATGTCATAATTCAAATGTTTCAAAATTCCCAATTTGGGGGATCCTGTTGAAGATCTCAATTTATACTTAACGAGCTTCTTAGAAATTTGTACAATATTTAAGTATAATGGTGTCGGTGATAATTCTATTAGACTTAAATTGTTCCTAATTTTTTTTGTAAAACATAAAGTTAATATGTGGTTGAATTCTTTACCCCACTATGCTCTATAATCATTTGGAATGAGTTAGCTCATAAATTTCTTACTAATTATTTCCCACCTTCAAAGACTACTAAATCTAGAAATAATATCACTTATTTTACTTAGTTTGAAAGAGAATTGATTTATGAAGGTTGGAAGAGATTTAATGAAATTATTAGGAAATGCCCTCATCATGTCTTACCTGACTGGTTGGTAATTCAACTATTTTATAATGGATTAGTAGGATCTCGTAGAGCAGTCAATAATGCTGTAGTTAGAGGATCTTTAATATCTAAGCCCTTTGAGGAAGCATATGAATTAATAGAGAAAATGGCTACTAATAATTTCATGTGGTTTGCTGATAGGGTAAATCCTAAGGGAGTAGTAGGAGTATATGAATTTGATGCTTTGTAAATTTTAACTGCACAAGTTAAGGCAATTTTTAGGAAGTTGAATATAATAGGAGAAAATATAGAATTCATAACTAAATTATCAATCCAATTGGAGGATCAAAAGTTAATTAAAAATAGTAATGTATAAGAGATTAAAATTTTAATTTAAAAGAAAGATAAAATAATCCATACTCCAATACATATAATTGAGGTTAGAGGAACCAACCAAATTTTAATTGATCAAATAGTACTATTGGGAATAATCAATGGAACTCTAATCACAACAATTAAGGAGTAAATTAGAACAATCCTCAACAATATGCTATTAATTTTAGAGCTATATATAATCTATAATTTAATTAACGTAATCAATTTGCAAGCAGAAAATCACCATTAGAAGATATAGTGATGCAGTTAGAAACTCAATTGCAAAATCTTATTACTTCTATTTATAATTTGGAAACCCAATTAAGTCAGCTCACAATTTCAATTAGTAGCAGACTTCTTAGATCATTACCTAGTAATACTCAAGTTAACCCTAAAAAGAAAAAGAAAAAAAATCCAAGTAAAATTAATTTAAGGATTAGTAGTAATATACCCCAACAAAATTGATAAATCTAGGCAAGTCTAGCTGAAGACTATAAACTTTGCATTGTATGAGAAGTAACCCTACCTTTAATATGCTATGTGCTTGGTAGATTAGATTTAGCAATAGTAGTCATTTATTTAAAATGAATTAAGAGAGTGAAAGGAGTTCCACAACACTGATTATAGTGCCAATGTGCTTGGTTATATGGTAGTTGTTTAAAATTCAAACTTTGGTGCTTCTGCACGAGCAAAATTTAAAAAAAGGATAAGTTTTTTTTTTTTAATTTTTTTTATGAGAAAAGAAATTCAATTGCATTAACAACTAAGAAAGCTATTACAAACTAGTAACCATAAACTGATTCCTCCTTTAACAATTGAATAAAAGAAGGAAGAATCTTATTCAAAGATAAGTCGTTCCAATTAAAATTACTAAAAAAAGCATAGTTAGCACATAAGTTTGCTAACTTATTACACCCTCTATTTACCCAATTGAAAATAACAAAATTAAATTCTTTAAAGAAAGAAAGATAATCCTTCCAATTGCCACCCAAGTCTTGCAAAAATTTGATTATGTTGTAGTTGTCTCCATCAATAATTATCCCTTTGTAACCTTTCATCAAAATTTTTTTTTTATATCTTTTAAAATCTAAATTGCCAAAAGTTTAAGTTGTGAAACGTCCCATTGAATACAAGAATGTCCATAAGCTAGAAGAAATCTTCCTTTATAATCTCGGATTACACCTCCTACTCCTGCTTTATATGATTTTAACAATGATGCATCCACATTGATTTTAATCCAATCGGGAGGGGGAGGGGGAGGGCTACTCCAACATTTTCATGAGAATTTGACTTTTAATTGGACACAATAAAGAAAAATGATTCACGTCGCCGACCCCACATAGTGGGATAAAGGCTTGTTGTTGTTGTTTTTATTACTGTTGGGAGGGGGAGGGTACCAATGATCCAACAGGCTATTCGACTGATTAGTACCCCAGAGACTTTCTTTAATTCTATAATCCTTAAAGGATATAAAAGCAAAACTTACAAAACTTAATGCAATCACCATAGCACTATCATATTTCCCTCCATGAAGAACATTTTTCTGGCATGCTCGGTGAGATAGATTGAATTACAATACACATTGATGATGAATCTTTATTTATCAACACATTTCTCCATCCAATCCAAGTACTCATAAAATGAATCAAAAATAGGAAAAAACAAATCCCCAAATGTTAAGATAATTCAATACCTCCACCAGCTTTGAACATTTGATCGTGATATGATCTAGATCCTCTATAGCATTATAGCCTCTCGGACATCCAAACTCCTCCTGCATTCTTCTTTGATAGAGGAAATATAAAGTAGGGATTGTGTTATCAAAGATACGCCACTAGAAAACTTTTACACAAGGCATCAATTTGAATTTCTTAAAACATTCCAAGTATACACCTGAATACTCTTCCTTCACCGAGGCTTTATAAGCAATAGCAGAAATAGAAAGTCCTGGTTTAAACTGAATGAGTTCTAGCTCATTTCCTTCCTTATTCGCATGGATTGGGATTTTACAGATTAGGCAAACTAACTCATCCCCAAAGAAATTTTTTAATTCCTCTACATTCCATCTTCCGTCAGTAATCAAGTTTTCCACCTTCATATCATTTTGTTCAGGATTTGTCATAAACGTTGGCCATTTATTTAGATATTTGTCCAAAATCCATATATCATTATAAACTTTAATAGAACAACTAGATCCAACCTTCCATCTAACTAGTTGTTTTAGGGAATCCATACCATTTGCAATGATTTTATAAGATGACCCTCCTTTCCTACTACTGAGTTCTCCACAATGAACTCCATATTTAACTCCTAGCACTTCGAACAACAATGATTCTTTATCTTGAATTAGTTTCCAAGCCAACTTTTCTCTTAGGGGTCCAAACATTTCCAAACATGAATGAAGGCCTCATCCACCCCAACTTGTAGGTTTGCATAGATTATTCCAACTCACATAATGAATGCAAATTTTTCCATCCTTTTTGTTCTAAATGAAATTTGTACAAATTTTATCCAACTCCTTCAACACACTTTCTGGAACCAGAGCAAGTGTGCAATAAAAAATCAGAATTGATAAAAATATAGACTTGATAAGTGTGAATTTCCCTGCCAATGAGATGAATTTAGTTCCCCATATATGAACTAACCTCAAAGCCTTTTCAATATTAAAATGAAAATCTTCTTCCACTAATCTCCTCAATGCCACCTTAATTCCAAGATAATTAAACTTTTTGACCACCTTGAAGCCCATAATTCTTTCAATTGATCTCTTTTTCTTATTTTTCACATGTTTCCCAAAAGAATAGCCGATTTCCCCGCATTGATTTTTTGTCCAGTCCAACCACAAAAATTAGATAGAACCTTTAAAATTTTCTTCCCTTATTTCATTCTTACTTCAGAAAGATTAAAATATCATCTGCATATAGTAAATGATAGATCCTTGGCCCATTTGAAGCAATCCAAATCCCCAAAGACATTTCCTTTTGTTTAAGCACATTTGAAAGAAGTTGAGAGCAAAGAATGAATAGATAAGGTGATAATGGACAACCTTGTCTAAATCCATTCCTTGCATTAATCCATCTTGAAATCCTTCCATTAATCATTAGTGAAAATTTTGGTTCAATCACACACTCCAAAATCCAGCCGAAAAACACTTAAGGAAACCCAAACATCTCCAAAACTTGCCATAAAGTCTTCCAGCACATGCTATCATATGCGTGCTCCATATCATTTTAAAAAGAAACCAAACTTTTTGATGCTTTTGAAAACCTGAATTTATGAAATCTCTTGTGGAACAAGAATGTGATCTTCTAGTGATATGCCATTAAGCAAGGCAGCTTGTTCTATTGAAATCAATTTGTGAATAGTTGGTTTCATTCTATTTAATAGTATCTTTGCTATCAGTTTATAAATAGTCCTACGAAGACTAACAGGTCTGAAGTGGCTCGGTGCAGATGAATTTTCAACTTTAGGAATAAGCTCTATCAATGTTTCTTTCCATTCATGATTCATCACTCCCGAATTGAAAAAAAAGAGTAATAGAATTCCATGAATCATCTTTAATAATGCACCAATAAGTTTTCACAATAAAGTAAGATATACCATCATTTCCTGGAGATATGTTGCTTCCAGCTTGATGCACCATAGCTTCCACTTCCTTCTTTTCCAAATTTTTTTGTTTAAATACCACTTATCATAGTCATCCAAGGTACACATAGAAGATGACCATCCATCTAGATTATAAGTCCTATCTCTTCATTTCTCCATGAAAGAATGCAAAAGAAATATCCATAATTTGATCTGGATCTTTATCCTCCTTCCCTTTGCCATCCTTGATTTTATAAATCCAATTATACTTCTTTCCAGATGAAGCAAATGAGTGAAAAAATTTTGAATTTGTATCGACATCAAACAACCATTTAACCTTGGCCCTTTTCTTCCACCATGTGTTCAGGCATGCCAAAACTGAATTCAGTTCATTTACATTGGCCTTTAGACTCCACTTGTCCTTCTCTGAGAGCCAATTAACCTCTGCTTCTTTCATTTGGAATTCCTAGATACTTTTCTTCAGCTCTTCCTTTTAAGTAACCAAGTTCCTGTGCTTTGGTTTACTCCTAAAGAATAAGTTTTAAGGTTCTCTTAAATTTTTTTTATTTCGCAGTTTAGCACAATCACCTCCAGTTTTCTTACCCCAAGGCAATTTTACAGTATTCTCCGGTGCTGAATAGGATGCCCATACCTCTTCAAACCTGATGATCCTTTCTGACTTGAATTTATGGTCCAAGAAATTTAATAAAATAGGACAATGATCCAAAGCCACTCTAGCAAGATGCCTTACCACCATTTGATTAGAAGAATTCATAGCAGCGATATTTCAAAATCATCTATCTAATCTTTTTAGGATCCGAGCTCCCCCAACCTTATTGTTACACAATGTGAATTTAGGTACAATAAAACTAATTTCATGGAAATCATTATTCACTAAAAAAGATTTCATTTCTTTTGAAGCTTGAGAAAACCGAAATCTCTTTCCACCCCTTTTGTCCTCCTTTGATAACAAACAATTGAAATCCCCTGCTACTACCATAGGGATATTGTTTATATAAAACTCTTCCAATTTCTCCCAACGAATTCACCTTTCAACAATTTCCTTGCTACCATAA